CCCCTTTTTTTCCTTCGTCGGGTCCGGCGGCTATAAATTGGAGGGTCCGTGGGTCACTGCCGTCCGCTCGCCCTCCTGAGTCCGTCTGTCTGTTCGTCTGTCCGTCTGTCTGTCTGCTCCAACACCCGCCGCATCCTCAGGCCCGCGCACACATTGCCCGCCGGCAGCCCCCCTGCTGTTTTCCCGGCCCTGGCCCGGCCCGCCCGGCCGCGCGAGAATGCACCGCAGAGCCATTACTTTTCACGGCTCGGACCGGACCGGCCCCCCGGCCCGACCCGGGTGGTAGGGAGCTGAGCTGGGTGGGACTTTTGGGACTTTACTCGCGGCTCAGACCGAATAACGTACGGCGTATGAATGAAGATGCGCATAACCGCGTTTATCAAACTCGGGCGCTTCCCCTTGTTTATTTATTTCCGTTGCACTGTTTTGCGATCGGTACCCCGACGTCCGCCTGCCAAAAAATTCTACGAACAATATCGTGAGTGAGTGTGTGTGTCAGAGAGGGAAAGAAGAGAGAGAGAGGGAAAGAGAGAGGGAAAGAGAGAGAGAGAGAGAGAGAGAGAGAGAGAGGGGGGGGGGCGGAAGATAGATATGTTAGCAGCTCCCTGAAGCCCTCCTTTCTTCCCTGTCCTGTCGGGCCCGGCTGGGACCACCGCGTGAGTAGCTGCTAGATGCAGAGGGGGCGCGCGGGGCGGGGTGGCTGGCTGCCGGGGCTGCTGCGCCCCACCTGCCTGCATCTCTCTCCCCTTTCATCCCACCACGTCCTCTCCACCGCCCCCGATGATTACCGCTCACGCCGTCGCCCTAATGAAATTGGCGGGCTGTGCTAGCAGGCAGTGGTTGAGCTGGAGGAGGGTTTGGGGTGCAGGGGGTAGAGGGTGGTGGATATGGGGGTGGGTTCTTCTGCTTGCTAGAGAGGATGGATGGGGTGAGGACTCATAAATTGAAGCGGCACCTCACACGCAATCGTGCCGACATGCTGGGGAAAATAAGGCGTCGTCTTACCTTGAATATGGCGTGTGTGTCTCGTGTGACTCGTTTTTCGCTCTTTGTTTTCTACTTCTTCCCCCTCCCCCGTTTCCTTTCTTTCGTCACCACCACACTCTCCGCCCGCCTGACACCCACTCGGCCTCTACCCACGCGAGCTGAGGGTCCTGTAGCTCGGCGCCCCTGCTGATGTGAGAGTCTTGTAACCGCCCGCTCCACGGCGTCGTCGTGACCTGCGAGTGGCGTGGCCGTACGTGGCCGAGCGTGGCCGAGCGTGGCCGAGCGTGGCCGAGCGCGGCGAGCGTGGTGAGCGCGTGGCGCGGCGCCAGCACGGGTGTGAGTGCCGCTAAGTAAGTCGCTCTTTACGGCCCTTAACACCCGGCGTCATGAGCGATCACGGCGCCGAGATGGACCGGGGCCGGGGCATTGGACACGGCACTAGCGGCGCAGCGTCTTTGTCCTTCTCTTGTCTTCTTCTCTCATACCCTCTTTCACTTCTTTCGTTCTCTCTCTCTCTCTCTCTCTCTCTCTCTCTCTCTGCGTTTACCGCGCCGCCACACGCCCTGCTGTGCTCACGCTCCCTCCCTCTCTTCTTTCTCTGTTGCAGACGTGCCAAAGTTCGTGGAGCCGCTGCGCAACGTGACGGTGCCCGTGGGCCGAGAGGCCATCCTCGTGTGCGTAGTGGACAACCTGTCCACGTATCGGGTGAGTAGCGGCAGTACACCGTAGGACAACTCACATTGCAAGAAGCAGAGATGACCGTTTATAAAAACGGGGCGCAGATTCACAAATTAACGAAAAAAAATATTTGTTTAAACATACCAAAAAGGGTGTAAGGAGATTTTAAGAATTTTCATTTTGCATTTTTCTCATAAAAACCCTTCGGTTGGTACGTGCACGTGGTGCAGGTGGCGTGGCTGCAGGTCGAGACGCAGACAATCTTGACGGTGCAGACGTCCGTCATCACCAAGAACCACCGCATCGCGCTGACTCACACGGACCAGCGCCGGTGGCAGCTGCACATCAGCAACGTGCAGGAGAAGGACCGCGGCCTCTACATGTGCCAGATCAACACGGACCCCATGAAGAGCCAGGTTGGCTACCTCGAGGTCGTCGGTGAGTAGAAGTAGTAAAATATCGCTCAAAACATAAGGTGCGGACTAGGCTATGAATTGCATCAAGAGCGAATGGAAGGGAAGAGCCAGTGAACCCCGCGTGGGTAGGCCGTCCCGTCGAGCAGACGTGTCGAGCGGGTCGGCCTACCTGCAGCGCTGCAGGGGCTTCCTCGCTGTGGTCGGAATCAAGCAAACTTACAAACTCCAAATAATCGACATTTCTTTTACTCCTGCCTTCGCATTCAGATTGTCATTGTACCACCCAAACCCTCCCCCACACAACGCCCCCTACCACTCCGGCACATTAACATCACGGGCCTCAGACTACTACTGCAGTAGTCCTACCTGCTGCGAACATGCAACGCACTCCAGCGAACGGTGATAATGAAAACCGGGGAGGCTAGTTTGAAAGAAAAACAAAACATGCCACCATTACACAGGATGCTTCTGCAGAGCTCGACGCCCCGGCCGCAGTCTCACCCGCGCTCCCCATGCTGAGCACTCAAAAGCAAGCAGGTGGAGCAAAAAAAAAATGAAACAAGTGATGCCAGCCGCTGTATACATGGGCGGCCCCAACACCTGGCGGTGCGGGTCGGGCCGGGTCGGGTCGGGTGGGGTGCGTGACTTCTAGGAGTGAGCCGCGCGGGCCGCTGACAGCAGGGCCGCGGGGGGAGCGGGGTGACATGTAGGCTCGGGGAAGCGAGGAGGTGAAGAAGGGTTGTGAGGGCGAAATAGTCGCGCCACACTTACGCACACGCACACGCACGCACACGCACACACACGCCACGCGTTGCCTGGCGCGCCCCCTCCCTCCTCACTGCCATTGTCTCGTCCTCGTCGTCTCTCGTACTGATATTAACTGCGCTACGCCAATAACGGCGCTAGCGCTGTTGAAACATGAACCGCAATTTTAGATATACCAAATATATTTATTGTCACGATTGGCTTATTCTCCACCCGGAAAGCGTGGTGTTAAAATCATGCTTCAATTTAGTCATAAAAACACGAGAGTTAATAAAGGCTACCAACCCAGTCAAGAAAATGCTGTTATATGGCTTTCCTCTAAACATGTTTGGTAAACTTAGTAAACTGTTTATACCTCTAATATCTTTAATTCCACGTCGTTTTTGTTTAGCCGTGCCACATACCATTTTTAACCAATTATTGTTGAAGGTTTTATATAATTTTGCATATTAGACCTAGATACAAATTTTCATTGAGATCTCATCTTTGACCTGTTTTTGAGATTTCAGAGCAGAGAGCCTTGTGATCTGGGTTATGTGAACACTTTTTCAAAATAATATTTGGTGTCAACAATCTACTTTCAGATAATCTGTTTGGTAGGGTCTCAACGGATTTTTTTTCCGTCCGTGTGCAGCACGTCTCCCGTCCTTGCTCCCTCGGCTACAAAGCCGCCGCTCCCAAGACGTTCGACAGCCTTACCGTGCCCGGCCTTATTTGCCTCCTGTACTCACCTACCACACCTTGGCCCGGTCGGATTGTCTCTCCTTAATAACATGTAAATACATGCAAAGCGCTGTGCGTGGCGATCTCTGCGCTGCCTCGCCCCCGCCCCTCTCTCTCTTTAACCCCCCTCCCCTCTCCATTGCTGCCAGCTCACCCCCTCCCTTCCCCCCACCGCGCTCTTGCCCAACTTTCATGAGACACCTGTCCCCCGCCCCCCTCACCTCTCCAGCCGCTCCGTTCCTACATCCTCCTCATTGCCCTATCGCGAATTCCCGTAGCCCCCTCTATCTTTAGCCCTCCCCCTCCGCCTCTTCCTCCCCGACTACCTCTCCCGCCACGCCACGCCACGCCACGGCCTCACCCGCTATCGCTCATGCATTGCGCCCTTCCGTATAGCGTTGGCGTGGTGTAGCGTGTAAATTGCAGCCGACTTATTTCGCGACGCGACACGCTGACAGCACGTGTGATTAGGGATACCGCTCTCTCTCTCTCTCTCTCTCTCTCTCTCTCTCTCTCTCTCTCTCTCTCCCTCTCTCTCCCCCTCTCTGCCCACTCTCCATCACACTGACTCAACCGCACCGTACTTCTTTGTCTCCCCCGCGGCTTATGCCTCTTCTATTCCTAATAACTCGCACCCTTCCCCCCTCCTCTTCCCCTTTCTGCCTTTTTACGGCGCGCTTGGGGGAGTCGAGTCGGGCGATAATTTGCTCAGTCTATGCAGCGGGCTCCGTAATGCAGCGCGTATTAATAATCGGAAGGGGCGGGACGAGGGGCGGCCGTGAGGGAATGCAACTGTAGGGAGGAACTGAGCAACGCGTGCGTTTAGGGATGCACGCCGCCCCCACTCCACCCCGCCCCAGCCCGTCGCCAGCAGTGGCAGTGGTGATGAAAGTCGTGCGGGGGCGCGGCTCGGCGGGCGGGCGCGGGCAGGCGTATTCGGGCGGTCCCCGTGGATCCGTGCCCCCTCCCCGTCCCCTCGCCCGCGCCCCTTCCCGTTTCATGAATTACTTATAAGGATCGCTGTTAATGCCGCACTAAGCTCGCAGAGTAACGGACTGCTGCCGAGGCCGCTGCCGCCGCCGCCGCCGTCCCGGGCCGCGCTCCGCAGCGCTACGCCACTCTGGCCCCGGAGTGGATAATCAGCGTGGGGAGCCGAGCCGCTAACTGTGTTAAGTCGGCCGCCTGGGAGAAAGCAGTCGAGGGCGAGGGGGGCGGAGGGGAGCGGGCTGCGGGGCGTGCCTCTCCATCCCCGCCGCACCCCGCCGCACCTCGCCGCACCCCGCCGAGCGCTGAGGTGGCGGCGGCGGCGGCCGGGACGGGCCACATTGCGTAGCTGCTGGAGCTGGCCCTCCTCCTGGCCCTCCTCGGCCTCCACCACCGCACCACGCACAATCCCACAGCGAGGCCACCCGTGTGCTGCTGCTGCTTCTACCGCTGCTTCTGCCGCTGCTGCTGCTGCTGCTTCGCACTGAAAAAGTAATGCAAAAGATTTGCGTCCGGGATAAGACTCACTTTTGCGGTCGCGGGCGTGGGTCGGGCGGGGGGAATTATGTACGCTATGCGTTCCGTGGAAGCTGTGTGGTGGCGGCGGTGGTGGTGTTGGGGGGCGGACGGGGGCCGCCCCCGCCTCCCACTCAGCTAGATCCAACGTGGCGCGCATGCAGCCCGCTGGGGCCTGCTGGGGCCCGCTGCCGCGGCACGTGGCTTGTGCACCTGGCCACAGAGCGTCCCGTCACACACATACACACACTCACCCACACAGACACACGCACATACACACACGCCCACACAATACATCCAAGCGCGCGCGAGCACACACACACACACGCACATATTGCGTTCTGCGTTGGCCAGCGGCGCGTGCCGGTCCACGTGTGTGGGAATTGAGCGAGGTCTTGTTTCCGAGAGATAGACGCGCTCCGCTTTGACGGCGAGAGAGAGGCAGCAAGTAGCGACGAGTGGGCGGGGGCCGCGGTAAGCAGGGACGAAACCCACACACGGTCACGCCTGCTGCTATTTTGCTGCGCGGTTTGCTTCCTGAAATGAAATCTGAGAACTCTAAAACAGCGGCCTCCCGCAGGGGTTCTCGGACTAAAATGCACTCAATCGAATTCAGAGAATTTTGCTCTGAATTTAAAAGCAAAACCACTCGTAGTGAGACAAATACGCTTGATTTCAGTACAAAATACTCTTGGATCACAGTGCAGTTGGTACTTGAATCAACCGTGTGTTGCACTCTTCTGAATCTGAAACACTCTTAATTCGATTCCGCCTATTTTAGTGCTGAACCGAGAACCCATTTTTCTGGATGCAGCCGTCTCTATTTCTCCAGAGCTCACCACGTCCGCTCTCTCGGTTTCCCGCTGTGAGTCACGCCTCCCAGTCCCAGTCTTCTGAAGCATGGCATTGAGGAGGAGGAAACCGCGGCGGTCTCCACCAATAATGTGTTTTGTTTTTTCTCCCGACGGTCGCAGCGCCTTCCGCAGTGGGGGCCCCGAAACATCTCGGCCCCGCGACGCCCCGCCACGCCCGCAACCCCAACAGCGCGGCAGTAGTTGTTTGTTCAAGGCTCGCGGCCCGGTGGGACCGGCCACCTCAGTAGTATGGGCTGCACTTTGTCGCAAATTTTTGTCGCAAGGGGTGGGGGGGGCCAGAAAACGAATCCGTTGCATGGAGTGGGGGGCCGCGACGTTTTTGTAGCATGTGACGAGGTGGAGGGGGAAAATATTTTTTTTCTGCCTTGGTCGGGTTTCGATCTCGGAACTTTGGTTTCGTAGTTGGGGGGGCGAACCCCTAGACCACTGGACCGCTGAGGGTCCAAGGGATCTGATTGACATGTGTAGCGGAGAGCGGGCGCTGGCGCGGCTGGCCCGTCCCTTTCTCGGCTTAGCTTGGGTAAGCTTCGGGAGGCGGTCGGCTCGGAGTGAAGGGCGCGGTACGCCCTCTGGAGGCCGGAGCCCGGATGGCTCGGCTCGGCTCCGCTCGGCTGGTATGGCGCGACGGATTTGAAAATGGGAAGGTGAAATGTGCCCTCCTGTGAGAGGTATGGCGGCACGAGTTCCATTGGCTGGAGATAGGGTGTGTGAGACTAGGAACACAAACTTCGGGGCGGTTCGCGCCGTGGAGGCTGGAGCACGTATGCCTCGGCTCCGCTCGGCTCGGCTCCACCCGGCTCCACTCGGTTCCGCTCGGCTCGGCTCCGCTCGGCTCGGCTTCCCTCGGCCCAGCTCGGCTTTGCGCGGCTTGGCTTGGCTCCGCTCGGCTCTGCTCGGCTCCGCTCGGCTAGTATGGCGCGACGGATTTGAAAATGGGAAGAGGATAG